GCCCCCTCTGGGCCGACCCCGAGCTTGGGACACTAGTTCGTCGGCAGCGCTGGCGATCGCAGGCGCGTCCCTGTGGAGCGCGCGGCGCGCGCTGGGCATGGGGCGCGCTGGGGCGGGCGGAAGAGCAGAGGACGGCCAAGAGAGGAGGTAGGAGGGAGGAGGAGGGGGAGGAGGTGGACGAGAAGGAGGAGGAGGAGGAGGAGGAGGAGGAGGAGGAGGAGGAGGAGGAGGAGGAGGGAGGAGGAGGAGGAGGAGGAGGTGGAGGGGAGGAGGAGGACGAGGAGGAGGAGGAGGAGGGAGGAGGAGGAGGAGGAGGAGGAGGAGGAGCAGGGAGGAGGAGGAGGAGGAGGAGGAGGAGGAGGAGGAGGGGAGGAGGAGGAGGAGGAGGAGGAGGAGGAAGAGGAGGAGGAGGAGGAGGCGGAGGAGGGAGGAGGAGGAGGAGAGAGAGGAAGAGGAAGAGGAGGAGGAGAGGAGGAGGAGGAGGAGGAGGAGGAGGAGGAGGAGGAGGAGGACGAGGAGGAGGAGGAGGAAGCGGAGGAGGGAGGAGGAGGAGGGAGGAGGAGGGAGGAGAGGGGCCCTGCCCTCGAGCATCGACGGAGGCTGGGCGCGCGCCGGCGGCCCGAGGTTGGGAACACGCAGTGCCTCGGAGACGCCCCGATGTCCGGCACCTCTCGGGGGAGCTCGGCGGCGGCGGTGGCCGCGCAGGGCGGGGGGCGGGCGCGGGGCGCGCGCGGCGGCGGGCGGCGAGGCGCCGCGAAGGTCCCCGCGGGCCCGACCTCCCTCAGGGCCACCGCGGCCGCCCTCCGCACGCCCTGGGGGGTCGCGCCGGGGGACGACGACCACGGCGACGACGACGACGACGACGACGTCGACGACGGCGACGACGACGACGACGACGATGGGGAATACGAGGCCGACGATGGCGAAGACGAGGCCGACGACGACGACGACGACGGCGGCGATGGTGGCGGCGAAGACGGCGATGGCGGTGACGGCGAAGAGAAGACGACGCGACGGCGACGGCGGCAGCGGTGGCGACGGCGGCGGCGACCCGGGTCCTTGCTCTTGTCGTGCAGGCACATCGTGAGCGCGGGCACCGCCGGGGCAGACGCGGTCCCGATCTGCCCCAGCGCCACCACCACGGCCTCCGCGGGGGAGAGGGGGCCGGTCCCTGCGGACGGGGGGAGTAGCAGGTAGCATGGTTCTAGGCCTTCTAGATGGGGTCGGAGGATCGCTCCGCATCGCCGATGCATCGACGATGAGGCTCGATGTGGAGCCCGTGTTTCGCCATGCCGACGGTGCCGATGCATCGCCGATACATCGCCGATGCCCCGTCGAGGAGGCCTCTAATGGTGGCATCCGGGCGGCAGAAGATCCTAAGCAGCTCGGCGCAGCTCACGACGGGGGTTGCCACGATGCCCAGGCCCCCCCTCGGGTCATGAACAAAAATCGCGACGGGAGGCTTCCTTTGCTATCTTCGGCCTCGGGGGGCCCTCCCTGGGCCTTGGGACCGCCAAGAGAGACGACTCGGGATGCGAAGCCGGCCCTGGGGAATGGGTCGAGACCTCTGGGGGTCGACGTCACGAACAACACATCCCGACGTCGGGGGTCTGGGTCGGGGGCCTACGCAGGGGGGGCCACGGTGGGCAACCCCATCTGGAGGGCCACGATGGGGGCCACGGTGGGGGCCAAAAGGTGTGCCTCGGGGGCCACGATGGGGGCCACGAAGGGGCCCACGAGGGGGCCACGATGAGGGCCACCCAGAGGGCCACGAAGGGGGCCCACGAGGGGGCCACGAGGGGAGCCCACGAGGGGGCCCACGAGGGGCCCACGAGGGGGGCCACGAGGGGGTCCACGATGAGGGCCCACGATGAGGGCCCACGAGGGGGCCACGAAGGGGCCAGGGTGGGGGGGGCCCACGAGGGGGGCCACGATGAGGGCCACCCGCACTGGGGTCAGGGCTTCCTCACCGGGCGGTACTTGGGCGCAGTTCTGTGAAACGCTTCCAGGCAAGCTGTGCCTGGAGGTAACGATTTTCGGGGGTCCGTGCGGATTTCTTGGATCAGCGCTGGGCCCCACGGGCGGCGCTGACCCGCGAAACCTGCGCGGGCCTCCGAATGAGTAATATGCCTGTGCTGTCTTTTGTTCTTTCTTCTTCTTCAATTCGATTCGATTCGAGTCGAATCGAGTCGATTCGATTCGATTCGAGGAGGAGGAGGAGGAGGAGGAGGAGGAGGAGGAGGAGGAGGAGGAGGAGGAGGAGGAGGAGGAGAGAGGAGGAGCTAGGAGGAGGAGGAGGGAGGAGGAGGAGGAGGAGGAGGAGGAGGAGGAGGAGGAGGAGGAGGAGGAGGAGGATGAGATGGAGGAGGAGGAGGCGGCGGCGGCGGCGGCAGCGGCCCACACTTCGAAGAGGACGATCCTCCCTCGCCTAGGACGAGAGTGGCGTGTGAGCTTTCAGGGCTTGAGTTCGCTTAAGCTTCGCTCTGGAAGGGGGGGGACTTGCGCCGCTTTCGGGCGGGGGGGTCCCTGGTTTCGCTCTGAAAGGGGGGGGGTCCCGCTTTTGGGGGGAGAGCCCTGGAAGGGGAAAGGGGGGGGAGACCCTCCCTGCTTTCGCTCTGGAAGGGGGGGGGGAGGGGCGTGTCCCGCTCTCGGGGGGGACCGGTGTCTGGGTGTCGCTCTCTGGAGGCAAGGCGGGGGGAGGGCCAGGGCCGGGGCCGGGGCCCTGTTTCGAGGGGGCCGTTTTCGCTCTCTGGGCTGGGGCTGGGGGTTTGGGACAGGGGCGCGCCGGCCGTTCCAGAGCGCTCCAAAACGGAACGGCGATCCATCCTCATCCTAGGAATGCCTGGTCATATTCTCCCCAGATCGGGGGTCAAGAATCGGCCCCCCGACCCATCGCGGGGTGCGCTCTGGCCCGGACGTGAAGCGCAACCAGCCGCGTCGACGAGGGTCCCCACGCGAGAATCTGGAGAACCAAAGGCCCTAGAACCCTAGAAAACAATCGAGGCTCCTCCTCCTCCTCCTCCTCCTCCTCCTCCGGGCCCCGCCCGGGGGGGCACAGCCAGAGGGGGGGGGCCTCGCGGATGAACTCGTGCTTCCTCTCGGGCGGGGCGCGGCGGCCAGCCTCCTCCTCCGTCTCCTCGCCTCCCGTCCCCTCCTCGGTGATTTGTTTGGCTGTTCCTGTGCTCTTCCCTCCGCCCTCGCAGGGCCCCTCCGCCTCGCCCTGCCTCCTCCTTCCAAGAGGAGGGGGGGGCTCCTCCCCTCCTCCTGGGCGCGAGGGGTGGGTCGGAGCGGGGGCGTCCTCTCGAGGCACCTCGGCGCGTCCCAGCCCAGCCCGCCCGGTACGGAGGAGGGCGCGATGAAATCAAAGAGCTCTCAAGCTGTGATGGCGTAGTTTGCTAATGTGAACGGCAACGCGTTCGCGACAAGATGCAAGATGAAGGGCTGGAGGAATATAAGAAAATAAGGGCCAGGGCATCTGAGTATATAAGAAGGAACACGTGCTTCACACGCACAGTCAACACTGCTAGCCATCGTGGGCCCCAAACAGTGCGTTACTGCACCGTGCACGAGAAAACCATGCGGTGCAAACTATTTGGTGAAGACAATGCCGTGTGAGCTATACGACGTGAGCTACTGGGGTGAACGCTATGAGGAGCGAGCTCGCCTGTGTAAGCTCTGTCGTGTAAGCTAGGCGAGGCGTGACCTAGAAGTGGCACCTATGGGGTGTAAGCTGTGTGATACGGTGGGGCATTGGATAAGGAATCCTTAACTAAAGAATCCAGGGTCTGGAAGCCCGTGGAACTCCAACGGATGCTTGGCCATGGAGGACATCACCGTCATCCTCATCAGATAAGGAATCCTCCAGGGTCTGAAACCTCCTGTGCACGTTCCTTGACGAATGCCCCACACCCTATGCGAGGCGGCCAACGTGGCGCAACCTCGGCACCCAGACATGCGACGTCCTGACTTTTTTCGATGCGGGGTCCCCGGAAGCCCCGACCCTTTCCTCAGGACCGGGTGTTCATCCTGGGTCGTTTTTTGATGGTCCCGAGGCCCGGCGAGGACCCCCCGAGGCCGAAACTGGTCGAACACCTTCCGCCCTGACTTTTATGGCGCGAGCCTCTCTGGGCACACACCCCAAGCGCGGGCGGCAGCATGGCGACACCCGGGCATGCCCCCCCCAGCGCTCGGGGCGCCCCCGAGGCGCCCGCGAGGCGGCAGCGCGGCGAAGTCTCGGCCTGCCCCCCAAGCGCGGGGGGGGGACCCACGAGGCGCGCACGAGGCGGCGCGGGCGGCGACGCGGCCACAGCCCAGAACATCCAACCAAAGACTCAACAGAGCAGACTGAGAACTCCTAAGTGCAGGCGATCATGCAGCGCGATCTGCATGCATGCCGAGGGCTCCGTCCTGCATGGGCCGTGGGGCGGCGGCCCATGGCTCCTGGGGCCCCGCGGGGGCAGTGCGCCCTCTCCTGGCCTGGCGGGGCGACTGGGGGGGGGGGGGGGGCTGGGCCTGGGTCATGCAGACGACCTCAAGTCATCCGTCAGCACCCGCTCGAGCGCGTCCAACTCGACGGCAGGCGCCGATCCAGGGGAGGGCCATCAAGTCAGCCCTCTCCGCCCGTGGATGTCAGGCCGAAGCCCAAAACAAAGTGCACACGGCTTCGCTGGTGGATAAGGGGCCTTGTGAGCCCGAGCGCTGAGGCGAAGCTGCAGCGCAAGTGCGGTGCAAGGTTCGCATACATATCTGGGCGAGCGTGGCACCTGTAGCCAGAGCTGACCGCGCCACGGAGTCCGTGGTCCAAGCTGCATCATGAGATGACAGGGGACGTTAGTCGCCCAGGCACCTGATCGAGGGCCCGTTTCACTCAAGATCCACTCCCTTCCCGAGGGAAGGGGAGACTGCATATTGCAGAATCCCCCCAGATATCGACGCATATGTTTTGGCACAGCGCTGTACCCCCTGGCGCGCGAAATGTGCTAGGGGTGGCGCCGGAAGCGCCACCAAGGGGGACCCGAGCTGACCTAAGAAACCCGCGCGGACCTCCGAGAATGTACACCGATGCTGCTGAGATTCGTGGATTCCTGGAGCAGGGCGGGTTGAGACAACGGCGGCTCAGAATCGGTCCCCAGACCCCTCCTGGGGTCCGAACGTACCAGTTTTCAGAGCTGCGTCCAGTCGCAGCGACGAGGGACTCCCCGAAGGCCAACTATCATTAGCCCTCCTTTGAATTGCATGGTAAAAAAACGATCACTTCTGTTGAATTAGAAAGGGGGAGGAACGCGCGGCCACATGATCTTGACTTGCCGGGGCTGGCATCACAATGCGAAGCTAAAGGCCACCAAACAAACCGGGAACTGCAACAAGCGAACTCGGGCAGGGATCCGTGGCCTGAGCCGTGGCGTAGAGCGCGAAGCGTGAAACACCGCGATCGAACAGTATCTCCCCGCACGGAGGTCGCAAACGCGCTGCTGAGCCGGGCGCGCGACCAGCGCCTGCGCGGCGGGCGCCGCGTGCGAGCCGAGGCCGCCCAGGGCGCTGGCGGCGGCCCTCGCGACGACCTCGTCCGCGCCCTGCAGGCAGTCCAGGAGCGCGGGCACCTGCGCGCGCGCTGATTACATCAGGCACATGCGATACGCAGTCATTACCTGTTTAGTCGGCAACTTTCAGGATCGTTTCGCTATGTTCGAACTCGCTGGCCAGTGACCAACTTCGAAATTTACACCCAGCTCTAATCGCGAACGCCTCGCTGCCACGCCCCGGACGGGTGGTCCTTCTACGGTTCAGAGATCCCGCTCTCCCCCCGACGGCACGATACCATACGCAATCTTGCTGTGAGGACTCTTGGGGCCAATCCTTCGGCGATCTTTGAGGCCCGGAGGTGCCCCAGACCTTCCGTGGGCCCCCCAAGGCCCTCGGGGGACACAGGAACTCCCGAGGGGCACCTGCTGGCAGGCTGGCCTCGGACCCCACGTGCCCCCCGTATTCGGGAGGGGGCCGGTCGAGAGAGAGGTCCCCTCCGGGCCTCCCGGAGGCCTCGCGTCGCCACGGCCACATCCGCTTCGGAACGCAGGGCAGGGTGGACCCATCGGGTCCTTGCTGGGCCTCCTGGAGGCCCCTCGTCGCCACGGCCACATCCGCTTCGGAAAGCAGGGCAGGGTGGATCCTGGGATGGGTCCGGGGACCGGTTTTGAGCGGAGTTGGGCCGGGCGGCGCTCGATCTCCGACGATGCAATTGTCTCTCTTGTATCTGTATATGTATATGTACCTGTACCTGTAAATGTATGTATGTATGTATGTATGTATGTATGTATGTATGTATGTATGTATGTATGTATGTATGTTTGTATGTATGTATATATATAACATATATATAGGTGAATATATATATATATACACAAATAAGTATGCTAAGATTCGGGCCTGTGGCGCCCGTAGCTGTGCCCCAAGACCACTCAACAAGGACCCAGAACAGGGAAATTGCTCCCGGGGAACATGTTGTTGCGCTTCGCAAACTTCAGATGGTCTGGGATGCGCTTTCGCGCCTCGAGGCTCGAGGGTTGGGCGTCGTGGAGGCGTCTTGCAGCCTTTGTGTGGCCCTTCCCGGGGGGCTTCCAAAAGAACTCCAGAGGCCAGAGGTCCAGGCATCGCAACTTCTGTCGCGCCCGGGGGATTCTTCCTCGTACTGAAGGATCCATCGTAAGGGCTCCATATTAAGGAACCCTAAGCAAGAATCCCTTGGTCAGGAATCCTTAGGAAGAAGTCCTTGGCAGGGGATCCCTAGTCATTAGGGGTCCTTCGTCATGAATCTTTAGTGAGGTGTTTTTTTAATAAGGAACCCAATGGCCCGCACGGATTGATCCGGCACGTGGGATGCCATATTTCAGGAGGGTTCGAGGGCGCCAAATCGTGGTTTTTCAAACCTGTTTTTTTCCGCGACGGCGGATCTGGGGCAGTGCGGAGCGCTTCGCGCCTAGGTCGGATGTCTCGCTCCGCGCCTCGCGCTCGGCGCCGGAGCCCCCCGGCGGCGCCTCCAGCGCCGCCCCCAGCCCTGGCGCGCTCCGCGCGCGATGGAGGAGGGCACAGCGCCGATCCAAGAAATCCGCGCGGGCGCCAAGCGCGAGGCGCGGACATCTCCGTCTTCTCGCGCCTCCGGTATTTCCTTCTCCTCGGAGGTCCCCCGAGCTTCGCCGCCAGGAGCGGACCGACGCCGGAGGGGCGCACCCCCCGTCCTATCCTGCACGACGAAGCGCCCGGGCGAGGGCCGGTCTCTCGGCCCGTGCTCGCGGTGAGCTGCGTGCCACACAGAAGCGGGATTGCAAACCTCCATGACGTTGTTTCGCGAAAGATGGGCTGGCCTGGGTTTCGTTCGGCCTCTCGCAGTAAACAATCATGCTTGCGCGCCGGGAACGCACATGAGGTTCTCGCCCCCGCGAATCCCCACATAGTGTTCACACATATTGTCGTCAGGCTGTCTCTGGACGCGATGTGTCTTTCCTCGCGGCGAACCTCCGTGGCACTCCGCCGCGCTGGGCCCTCATACCTCCCCTTTATGGCTATGGTACCTGCCCCCTTGCTGGCTAGTGGTGGGGGGGGCGAGATTCGTTACTTCCCCCCCCTCCCCAGCCTTCTCAGGACCCCATCAAGAGGCCAACATCCTTCAAACACCTAAAAGAGATCAATGATTTGTGCCTTCTCGCCGTTTCGCTTCCGACGAGCTTCTGAGGCCTCAAGACGGCCTCAAGACGGCCCAAGGGAGGCCCACGAGAGGCCCAAGGGGCCCCCCCTCAAGAGCGCCCCAGGAGGTCACAAGAGCGCCCCAATAGACGATTTTGATGGCCCCAAGGGGGGCAGAAATCGAGGACCCCCCCCTTTTGATCGATAACCTCCAAGATGGCCCCAAGATGCCCTCCAGGGCCACCAAGAGACCTCCACAAGTGCTCCAAGAGGGCCCCAAGAAGACCCGACGAACCTTCAAAAGAGCCCCAAGAGGAACCCAAGCTCTCCCAAAAGAGTCCTAAGAGGGATGCAAGAGGCGATTTTAAGAGCTCTGTCCTCGTCCTTGTTGTCATCCTCCTTCTCGTCCTCGTACTTGCCCTCATCAGATTCCTTTTCCTTCCCCTCCTCTTTTTTATCGTCGTGGTCGTCGTCGTGGTCGTCGTCGTCGTCGTCGTCGTCGCCGTCTGCCTCCTCCTCCTCCTTCCCTCGCTCCCACGCGGGCCCCAGGGATGGCCCGAAGAGTCTCGGCCCGAAGAGGCCCTCCAAGGCCCCCCCCTTGCTCCCAGAGATTTCTCTGTTCACCCTGGTTGCCCGCTCGGTTCTTTTTTCGTTAACTCTCATGGACAGGGTCTGTGAATGGGCTGGTGGCGTGAATAATTTTACGTGTGTCACACCAGTACAACTTGGAACTCTTACACTCGATTCTGCGACCTTCACAAAGCCAATCGTACGGCGCTTGGTGTTGTGCCCGCGACCGGCCATCCCCACGAAAACCACGCTCGGCTCCCCGAATATGCAAGTGCGGGCGCTGATCAGTTAAGACTGTGCGCGCTAAAGAGGCCAATGCTTCACCTCGCCTTTTCGAATTTAACGATGCAAGTGGAACACCGGTGTAAATAGAAGAGAACTCGTGGAAGCCTCTGCACAGCATATGCGAAAAGCGCGAGGCAAACGCCCTGAGTGGGCTCGTGGGCATTCGTACATGGACGTGCGGAATCTATAATCTCTCCACGCCCAAGGAATGTTGCATAACACCGAACGGACTAAGTCAACAGAACTTGAGCGAAATGGCTTAAGAAGAGGGATCGAGTATCATGGCGGCAATGACAACTAATCTGATGAAGAGGCCTAGCAAGACGTTGAGCGGGCATGGGCCAATTTAGCATCCCTAGCGAAGAATGCCAAATTGAGCTCCCTTGAATGGATTCCTCTGTGTGTGTGTGTGTGTCTTGAGGGCTCGGCCGCTAGCCGCGCGCGCGCGTTCTCATCTCCGACTTGGGACGCCCTGTCGCTGCGCGCGGGGCCGCGACGCCCAAAGTGTGTGTTTGGATTGTGTGTGTGTGTGTGCGTTGTGTGTGTGTGAGTGTGTGTGTGTGTTGCGTGTGTGTGCGTGTGTGTGTGTGTGTGTGTGTGTTGCGTGTGTGTGTGTTGCGTGTGTGTGTGTTGTTTCTGTGTGTGTGTGTGCGTGTGTGTGTGTGTGTGTGTATGTGTGTGCGTGCGTGCGAGCGTGCGTTCGTGCGTGGTTGTGTGTGTGCGTGCGTGCGTGCGTGCGTGTGTGTGTGTGTGTGTGCCTTGAGGGCTCGGCCGCTAGTCGCGCGCGCGCGCGTTCTCATCTCCGACTTGGGACGCCCTGTCGCTGCGCGCGCGGCCGCGACGCCCAAAGTGTGTGTGTGTGTTTGTATTGTGTGTGTGCGCTGTGTGTGTGTGTGTGTGCTGCGTGTGAGTGTGTGTTGCGTGTGTGTGTGTGTGTGTGTGTGTGTGTGTTGCGTGTGTGTGTGTGTGTGCGTGTGTGTGTGTGTGTGTTGAGTGTGTGTGTGTGAGTGTGTGTCCGTGCGTGCGTGCGTGCGTGCGTGCGTGCGTGTGTGTGCGTGTGTGTGTGTGTTGTTTCTGTGTGTGGGGGTGTGTTGTGTGTGTGTGTGCCTGTGTGTGCGCGCCTGGTGCTTGCGCCGACCTCTCCCGGGGCGCGCTCTGACCTGGACTTCGGGGCGGGTCTGGCCGTGGCGACGACGCCCTCCCGGGCGACGCACGAAGACGGGCGAGGGGCGTGACGATTCCTCCCTCCCCCTCCCTCCCCCTCCTCCCCAACCTCTTTTGACGAGGAGGACGAGGAGGGAGGAGGGCGACGCCAACGACGACAGCGACGACGGCGACAGCGACGACGGCGATCTCGCGAGGCGCGGCGGGCCACCGCGCTGGCGGAGAAGGCGCCGCCCAGCTCCCCCAGCGCCGCGGCGGAGGCGCAGCGGGTCTCCGTGTCGCGGTCCGCGCCCAGCAGCGAGACCTGCGGGCAGTGCGCGGCTGCGCGCGCGCGGCGCCGGTGGGGCGGCAGGGCGCCACAATGCACTGCCCCCGGCCAGGCCCATCCTGGGCCCAGGAGCGGTGTACAGTAGAGGCCAGTCCACAAGAAACCTTCCACAAGAAACCCAACCCTGAGACCCCAGGACGTCTCTTGATCTCTGGTGTGGGAAATGCCACGCTCTCCACAGCTAAACCATCGAAGCCCAAGAAACCCAAGGCACCCTGGAGGCAAGCAGGGTGTTTTTTTGGCACGGCCCCCACATTCTACGCCGCCTTGGTTTGGCCAGGGAGGCATATATACGCCGCTCCAGAGCCCAGGGTGGACCTGGCCAGGGGCGGTGGATGTGTGTACACGGTCGGGAATTCTGGCACAGCGTGTCGCGGCGGCGGCCCCGGCGACACGCTATTCGCGATGCCCTGCAAGCGCATGGCGTGCCGCTCCGCCTCGTGGGCTGGGGGGGCCGGGCAGAGCTCGGCGCCAGGACGCCCGGGGAGCGCGAAGTGGGGGTAGCGTGTCGCGCCGTGGGCGACGCTGGCGGGCGGCAGGGTGGCCGCGCCGAGGGCGGCGCTGGAGCGCGACGGCGGCGGTGGCCCCGCGGCGCGCGCACGTGCACGGGCGCGCGCGCGACGCCAGGCCCGTCGGCGCCGTTGCGAAGCCGCGGGCGGCGGTCGGGAGGGCATCGTCCGCGGCGCGCGCGCGGGCTCGCGTGCGCGTGCGCGTTCGCGAGCGCGGAGAGGTTTCCTCCTCCTCCTCCTCCTCCTCCTCCTCCTCCTCCTCCTGCTGTTCTTCCTCCCCCTCCTCCTCCTGCTCCCCCTACTCCTGGGGGACGAGGGCCCCAGGTCGGGCTATCGAGCGTGGACGGCCTTCGGCGTTCTGCGCCTCGTCGCCGCCACGGCAGGGACCTCCATCCTCGAGACGCGGGCCAGAGCGCCCCCCAGACCCCACACCCGAAGAGATGTCCGCAGGCTTCGGCTAAACCAAAGGGTGACCCTAGGCAAAAGTGACCTTTGGTGCGCGGCCCAAGGGTGGCCCTTTCGGGACCACGTTAAGCGCGCAAGCCGCTGCCATCGCGCCGCATTCAGCGACGGGGGGGTTGCCCATGGGGCACGCACCGAAGGTCACTCAGGCGAAAGGTCACTCTTACGTGTAGCCGACTCTTTACGGTTCTTGCGACGACGCCGCGCGGAGCAGGCCAGATCCGGGTCGCCCGGGCTGGGCCCTCACCGGGCGTCGCCAGACCACAGGAGCTCATGCGCCCGCTGGCGGTAGTGCTCCTTCGACACCCCCGGCCTCTTCTGCGGGTCTGCCTGCCTGGCGGGGCCGTCGAGCAGGCACCCGCTGGAGATCCACCTGGCCGCCTGGGCCCCCAGCTGCGGGGCGGACGCCGACGCGGAGAGCTCGAGCCTCCGGAGCATGGAGGAGATGCCCTCGCCGCCGCGCTGCGCGGGCTGAGCGCTGCCCTGCGCCCCGAGCAGGGAGCGCTCCGAGGCGGCCCCGCGCGGCGGCGGCCTCTCCGGCGGCCCCTTGGGCGTGCGCGCCAGCGTGCTCAGGCCGGCGGAGGGCGGGCGAGGCCGCTCTCGCCGGAAGGCTTCCCACCCCCAGAGGCGCTCCCACCGGCAGCCGTAGGGCCCGACGTAGGGCAGCTGCCGCTTCCTGGGCGCCGCCTCGCCCGGCGCACTTCCTGGCGTGCCCGCGCTGCCGAGCGGCAGGATCGTGACCCCGGTCGGCTGGAAGCCGGGCGAGACGGTGAGGGCGAAGCGCCAGGCCCCCCTCTCCACCCCGAGGGGGCGCGAGGGGCCCGGCGACGCCTCCATCTCATAGCGCACCGTGGCGAGGCCGACCACGGAGGCCACCTGGTGCTCCTGGCTGGGCCCCGGCTCCCGCTGGCTGCCGCTCTCCTTCGAGCTCCTCGGGCCGGGCGCCGTGTCCCGGCCTCTGTCCCTGCTCTCGTCGGGGGCGCCCGAGAGTGGGGGGGCGTCCAAGAGAGGGGGGGGTCGCAGCTCCTGGCCCGAGGCATGTGCGCGGACGTGGGGGGGAGACCGGGGGCGCATTGACACACGAAGAAGGGGCCGTGCTATCCGGGAAGATCTCGTGGTCCCGTCGATGAGATCCACCCCCCTCTAGTCTTAGATCGGGCATGTCCCCCTACTGGCGGATTTTGGACGAATAATCAAACGTATCCAAAACATACCCCGAAGTAGTCCAGAAATGCTGGGAAAATCGCCCTCTCACGCGATTCTTTGACCATTTTCGAATCTTCCTCCTGTGGAGGGACACGCCCGACTTCACTCTATAGCCATCACCCCCCTCCTGGGCCGCCCCCGATCTTCTCTGGGTCCATGGCGGCCAGCTGGGCCCGCCAGGCCCCGGGGTCGGGGACGGTGCGGAAGACGCCCTCGAACGTCACCACGCGCTGCTCCTGGGCCGGCGGGGGCGGCGGCGCCTGCGGGTGGGGGTCGGCCGCGCCCGGGGGCGCGCCGAGGCTGCCCTGGGCCGCTGCCCGGAGCCTGCTCCCCTCGCGCTGCGTCTTGTCGGGGGCGGGCGCGCGGTGGTCGAAGGTCAGGGCCGAGGATAGGGGAGCGAAAAAGGACATGACCATAAAAATGTCGGAGGTCCGCGCGGATTTCTTGGATCCGCGCTGGGCCCCCTCCGTGGCGCGCGGAGCGCACCACGGGCGGCGTCGGAGGCGCCGCCAGGGGGCTCCAGCGCCGATCCGAGGAATCCGCGCGGACCTCCGAGTTTTTTTTATGTTTATGTCATTGTTTGTTTCCCTAGAGAAACAGAAGCGGCCGTCCTGGGTGACCTGCAGGGCCGCGAACTCGTCCTGGAAACACATGGGCTTGCCGAAGAACGGGAAGGGCGGGACCTCCCGCAATTTCTCCTTGTCCAGCTCCGACCGGGCTGCCTTGAGCAGCAGGTCGGCCCCCATCATGGCGAAGGAGGACAATGAGAAGAGGTGGAGGAGGAGGAGGAGGAGGAGGAGGAGGAGGAGGAGGAGGAGGAGGAGCACCCGCTGATGGAAAATGAGGGGATGGGGAGGAGGCGCCTTCGTTAGACCAAGCGTTTTCAAAAACACAAGGACAATCCTGGGCGCAACGCGTTGAACATTGCGTTTGTCGGGGCCGCTCGCCAGAACAATTTACGGCTCCGATGTGTTAGTGGCTTCGGACCGTGCGCTCCACTCTTTCAGGAGCCTTGGGATGCCCACTGTCTTCCCAAACGATCACTCTCACCATTCTCTCCGAACTTTCAGGAGGCCCTCCTTGAAGGACCAAACGTGGCGCCAATCGTTCGTTGCTGCAAGGAGCTCTGGCTCGTCGAAGCGCATGCGTCTGACTGTGCCCTTCGCGATTCTCAAGGGATGCGCCCTGCTGGGGAGGCATGCCTTGTTGGGGGCAACCCGTCTCGGGCCAAGGCCAAAGACCCCATCTCGGAGTTGCGCATCTTCTTGTGCCGTCTGGGGTGGCATGTGGCCGGACCCGGAACTGCAGTGGAGGCCAGTCCACAGGAAGCCTTTCACAAGAAACCCAATCCTGAGACCCCAGGACGTCCACTGATTTTCGGTGTGGGGACGTCACGCTCTCCATGGCAAAACCATCGAAGCCCAAGAAACCCAGGGCACCCTGGAGGCAAGGATGGTGTTTCTTGGCATGGGCCCCCCCTGTACACCCATGGCTGGATTCACATGTGGAGCATCTGGAGAGGCCACCCGCTGGACACACGTCTGGCCACAGGGCACTGCGTGCCCAGCGCCTGCCCAGGCCAGCCGCGGTACCTGTCTGCTGGCTCCCCATATCCGATCGTTCATGCCTTTTTGGGGGAGGCGTTGGACTTGCCCGCCCTTTCCCCCAAGGGGTGCCGTGCTCGCGTGGCAATCGGAAAAGGGCTTCGGGGGAACATATTGGCTTGCTCCAGGCAGGACGAGTGTAGTCGTCGTAGTAGTAGTCGTAGTAGTCGTCGTAGGGTGAGTCGAGTGTAGTAGTCGAGTCGTAGTAGTAGGGGGCAGCATCGGGCGAGGGTAATAGTCGGGGATCTCTTGGGCCGGCGGGTCGAGAAGATGCACGGGGCGCCGCGGCCGTCCCAAGGCCTGCCGGAAAACTCTCAACGCGTTCCAAGCCGCTCGGGGGCGATGAACCCTCATCGTGGGCCTGCCTGATTGGAGGCCTTGCTGGGATAACGCTGTGTCTAGATGAAGGTCGAAGCGTGCCAGCCCTACGGGTCGGACGACCCGACACCAGTTTTAGCCTGCACCGCCATCTGGGCGGCTGATTCGGCGGCAACGGTCAGGCTGTGGCTCCGCGGCAAGTGCAGCCGCCGCGACGAGGGTGAAGCCACGCTGTGGCGTCGAATTCGGAGATGTCCCTCGTGAGCTGAAGAGCGGGCGGCTGCTTCTGACCCTGACGTGCCCTCGGCTGTCGTCAGGATGGGCGGGAACGACTACCTGCTTGTTTGCGGGGACGGCCCGCCACCCTGAGAATCACCTGGAACGGTCTGCTCATAGCGGTGAGATTCGGTTGGACTTGGTTGTCGTTGAGATCACCCCCCTCCAGGGCCACGGAGCCTGTGAATACCTCCCTCATCGTGGACTGTGGGGATCCTTTTTCGTTGATGGGTCGTGCGTTCGGCGCCCCAGTTCGGGAACTTTGAAGGAGTGCCTGGTGCCCAGCCGACAAGTCCGGTGATTTGGTTGCGAGATGTCGGCCCCTGTGTGACCCCGTACGCCCAGTTTCCCCAGACAGCCGAGTACTCGTCCTTCTGTGGTCTTGGGCACATGCTGGGGGGTAAGGCCGATGCGCACAGCGACTGCGTGAACGTGATGAGCGGCAGTGATCCCAGCGCCTCGAGGTTCGTCAGCACCACGGATCCCAGCGCAGCCCGAACTTCAGAACTCGGGCCGTCCTCTGCTGCGTGGCCTGGCTGCGGTGCGGTGGAAGACCGTCTTGAGGTCTTTCGCCCCGGCTGCTGCTCAGCGCGAGGCTGAC